ATATATATATATATTTTACACTTCAATTTCAAAATTTAGATAATATATCATTTAAATATAATTCTAAAAAAAAAAAAAAACTTTCTCTGAAAGCTACATAAAATTCATCTAAGGAAAATTTCTTCAATAAAAAAAAAAAAAAAAAAAAAAAAAAAAAATAGTAAAATTGAAACGTGTTTATTTTAAACGTTTTTACTGTTCACATATATATATAATTTTTTTTTTTTTTTTTTAAACAATTTTTTTTCTAATTATTAAAGAAAATTATTAAAGAACCCTTTTATATAAATTTGTATATTTATGAAATTTTATATTAAATTTCACGCATGTTAATATGCATAGATTAAAATGATTAATTTAATATATTGTGTATCATTTCTTTAACGACTTCATTTTTTTAATTAATATATTCTACAATATTTTTTTATGAAAACTTCTTTATTCATTTTTTATAAGATATAAAAGAAATTATATCTATCAAAAATATAAATTTTAATTAAAAAAAAAAAAAAAGTTTATGAAATAAGTTTAAATTTAATTATTTTTTTTTTCTTAGAACACATCTTAACTTTTTTTATGCTTCAAATTTATTTATTTTTATATAATACTTTTCATAAAAGTTTTTTTTTTTTTTTTTTTTTATTTATTTATTTTTACATTATGGTGTTTATATAAATTATTATTAGAAATTATCATAATATAAATTCTTTTTGTAAATAATATGTTCTATTTTATTAATATTATGTATATAAGTAATTTGACATTTTGTAAATGAGTAATTAAAGAAAACTATATTTTTTTAATAAATATTAAAATGTGTATAATAAATTAAAATATAAAAAGTTAACAAATGGATTCTAAATTTAAAAAAAAAAAACCTGAAGAGAAAAAGAATTACATTCAATAAAGAACAATAATGTTGTATTAATGTTTATTTTTAATTAGATTGTTTTTTTGCTGTTTTTTTCTTTCTTTTTTTTTTTTTTAAATTAAGAAAAATAATATAAATAAATAATAGAAAATTTTATGCTTCTTTTTTTCTTTTTTTTTTAAAATGATATTTAGGCAAATAAAGATAAAAAATAACTACCTTTTTATAAATAAATGTATTAATATTAAAAGGGAATTGTTCTATAGTTATCATAAACTTATAAAAGAAAATAATGTAAATTTATTTTTTAGTAATAATTTAAACAGTGAAAAAGAAAATTATTTTAAGAGAAAACTAAGAGTTAATAAATGCCTATATGCAAATATTATCAATAAAAATATTTGGTTAATTGAAGATAAGTGTGATTTAAACTACAACGTAAACTACAATGTAAACTATTATCGTAATGAAAAAATAATAAATGAGAATAAGTTTAATGTTATAAAAGAAAAAAATTTCTCCAAAAAAAGCATAAGTTATTTTTCCACCTATTCAAAAGGTTTAAAAGAAAATAATATATCGCAAAATAATAAAAATAATGAAAACATAAAAAATGAAGAATCAAAAGAAAAAAAAATAAAAGAAGAAAAATATGACATAAAAAAAGAAGAATTACAATGTAACAGTAATAGTAATAATAATAGTAGTAGTAATAATAATAATAGTAATAATAATAGTAGTAGTAATAATAATAATAGTAATAATAGTAGTAGTAGTAATAATAGTAATAATAATCAAAATGATAATAATTTAGAAAGTGGATATAATTCATTTGACAATTCAGAAGATATAAATATGATAAATATGCTAAAAAAAAAAAAGGTGAAAATAAATGATAAAGAAAATAAATTAATGAAAATTTATAATAAAAGTTCAAATGTAATAAATTCTTTATTTTCATACTTAAAAAAGGGGGGTGTGGAAATAAAAAAGATCATATTGAAACCATCTTTATTAATTGTTTATTATAATAATACGAAAAAAAATATAAAACATACACTGGTTTGGGTTAAAACAGGAATTCTTTTATTTTTAACAAATATGAAAATATCTAAAAATTTAATTATTAAAAGACTAAAAGGACATAGATTATCATATTCTGAATATAAATTATTGATAAGAACAATGAATGATATGTTTAAATTAATTCCATTCTCATTTTTTATTATTATTCCTTTTGCTGAATTTTTACTACCTGTATTTTTGAAAATATACCCCAATTTATTACCGTCTACTTTTAAAAATGATGACAATTTTAATAATATAAAAAAAAATTTATATGCAAAACAACAATTGGCAAAATTTTTGCAGCAGTTAATTGAGGAAAAAGAAAAGCAGTTAAATGAAAACATAGACATAGATTCAGATAAAAAAAAAACAATTTTAAATAAATTTCACCAACAATTAATTAATAAAGATGAAAAAGATATAAATCCATTTTTAAGTGTAACAGATACATTAAAAATAGCAAAGATATTTAAAGAAGATTTTGTATTAGATCAAATGAATTTAAAAACATTACAAACAATATGTCATTTACTTGGTTTAAAACCATATGGAATGCATTATCATGTGGTTTTGCAATTAAGACATCATTTTTTGAGATTACAGAGAGAAGACAGAGAGTTAATCTATGAAGGAGTTGATAATTTAAAAAAAAATACATTAATAGAGATATGCAAAGATAGGGGTATGAATTTTAATACATCAGAGAAAGAAATGAAACTACAAATACAACAATGGTTACAATTAGCTAGTATAAAAGAAGTTCCATATATATTACTTTTGTATATTAGATGTGTAGTTGTTACCCATGCTATTATGGATATACATGACTCTAATAAAATATCTAATTTACCAAACGAAAAAAATACAAAATCATCAAATATAGATGATAAACAAAAATTAATCCAGGAAGCTAAAGAAAAATTAGATGACTTAAAAATGAAAGAGGAAGAAATTAAAAAAAATATTAACAAAGAAACAAATGAAGAAATTACAGAGCATAATGAAAAAAAAATGAAAATGCATTTTCTTAAAAAAAACAAATATATGCAAAATGAACTAAACTTATTAAAACACATTTGTGATTTGCAGCATAAGTATAAAAATAATACATATATATATATATATATATATATATATATATGTTTGTTTAAATTTATATAAATTACAATTTTTTCTTTTATTTTTTCAGAGAATTGAAGATTGCCTTTACATCATTAACTGATTTAGCTGAAAAAAAGCAATCATGTAAATGATAAAATAATATTTTGTGCATTTATAAATTATTTATGTATTACATATTATTTATCGTATATTTTATATTTTTAGTAATCATGTTTTATAATTTATTAATTTTATTTATTTGTTATTTATTTCATTTCTTTTTTAGGTGATATTAATGAAATAATAAAAAATATGTCTGAAAGACTGTTAGACATTGAAAAACATATAAGTGAGTTAAATGTTCATAAACAAATGGAAATGGTAATACTATTTTTGTTTATTAAAAAAAAAAAAAATAATAATAAATAAAATAATAAAAATTAAAATGAAAAAACAGTATATTTTATTATAAAAATTTAATATGTTTCATTTGTACAATTATATTTTTTTTTTTTTTCTTTTTATGTAGGATGAATACTTCTATCCTGAAGATGAGAAAAGTGATGATATTATAAATATAAAAAGCTAGATTTAAGTTGATGTCAAAATTAAAATATTTACATTTGTATATATTTACACAAGTGTAATAACCATTAAGAAATTTACATTATTTTATAATTTTTCTTTTTCATTATTTCTCTTTTTTTTTACTTTTTTTGTATGCATAACCGCATTAAAATTAAATTCTACAAAAAATTTTCATTATTTTAAAATTGTGCATATACATTTAAACTTTTATTTATAATATATGTTCTAAAAATTTTGTTGTATAATCAAGAAAATGAAAATATCATTAAAATTAATTTTATTTGTTTCTATATATATATATATATATTAAATATATATATATTTTCATATAAACTTAAATAAATATTTATTTTCACAAAATTTGCTATAAAATAAAAAAAAGTCTATTTTATTTAAATGGAAAAAAAATTATAAAAATAGTTAAACATAAAAGCTATATATACTTTATTCTTATTAAATTATAGATATATTTTTAAAATTAAGAATATTTATCATATTAGTTAAAATAAATAGAAAAAATATTATGGTGTATACTAAGATTTCTTACTAATTTTTTAAGAATATTTTTTTTTTTTTTAAAATAAAAAAAAAATATAATTAGATGTTTAGAAAAAAAATTATTTAAAGATAGTATTTATAGATATAATCCCTCTCTATATATATACGAAAACTTCATATTTCATTATATTTGTAGGTTTATTTATTAACTTTTTATTTTTCATTTTATGCAGCCATATCCATAGAAATTTTATCATGATGTACATAATTTTCTATTGTAAAATCAGAAACTTTAAAGTCTTCTATATTCTTTATATCTGGATTTAACTTGAGAGTTGGGAAAGGATATGGTATTCTGTTTAGTTGCTTTTTTAAACTATCGATATGATTGTTATATACGTGTGCATTTCCTAAAATATGTATGAACTGTGCAGGTTGCAAATTACACACTTGTGCAATCATATAAGTAAAAATTGAATATGATGCAATATTAAAAGGAACTCCTAATCCCAAATCACATGACCTTTGATACATAATGCATGACAATTTATTATCAAAGACATAAAATTGACATAAAATATGACAAGGTGGTAATGCCATTTTATCTAAATCCTTTACATTCCATGCACATAAAATAATTCTTCTACTAGTGGGCTCATTTTTTATTAAATTGATAATATTTTTTAATTGATCTACTCCTTTATTTTCATAATTGTCATGCATATTAGTATATTCAGCACCAAAATGTCTCCATTGAAAACCATAAATGGGTCCCAAATCATTAACTTCTCTATCAAATAATTTTCTTTTATCTAAGAATTCCCTTGTTCCGTTGGCTTCCCATATTCTCACATTTTTATTCAACAGAGTGTTTCCATTAGTTTCCCCTCTTATAAACCATAACAGTTCTTCAATAATTCCTCTTATGAACAATTTTTTTGTTGTTAATAAAGGAAAATATTGATTTAAATTAAATTTCATCATATATCCAAACTTACTTACTACTCCAACACCAGTTCTATCACCTTGTTTATTCCCATTCATAATAACATCATATATAATATTTAAATATTGATATTCCGGATGATATTTATATTTCAAGCTATTGTATATTTTAAAATCATCACTTATTTCAGAATTTTTCTTTTCCTTTGTATTATTAAAATTAAAATATACATAATCATCGTCATCATCCATGTTTTTGTAAACATCCTCTCCAGTGAAATAGTTATTTGGGGAATCTTGAGAACATATATCTGCTTCTTTATTATTTTCAATGGGGTTTTCATTATTTAATATTTCTTTTTTTCTCTTATAAATTACAAAGTCTAATGTTGCACCATTATTGCTATACACATCACTTAGAGACATAATTTCAAATTCCGTTTCCTTTATTTCTGGAAAAAAAACATCACACTCATACGTACTATTTATTCTTGTAAAGTATATTTTTTTTATTAAATTTCTTTTTAAAAATTCATTGTATACAACTGAACCACCAATAATAAAACATTTATAATAATTTATTTTTCTTAGTAATAGAAGTAAATCATCCACATTATTTATTAAAATAGCATCTCCTTTTATGTCTTCTTTTTTTAATGATCTTGATAATACAACATTTATTCTATTAACTAACGGCCTAAATCGTTCTGGAATACTTTCCCAGCTAGTTCTTCCCATAACTACAACATTTTGTAAGTTATTTGATAGTTGTATTATACTCTCTAAACACTTTGTATCCTTTGTTTTTTCTAAATATTTCTCTCTTTTATATTTTAATTTTTTATATTTTGATTCATTAACATATGTTGTTACTGTAGTAAAATATTTCATGTCTAATGGGTTACTTTTCCATGGCAAAACTCCCTTATTCCCAATTCCTCTAAATGTGTTATTACTGAAGATTTCATTTTTTTTCTTTTCATTTTTGTTTTCAACCTTACAGCAGGCGCATATAGCGTGTATATCAAAAATATCAGATATTTCATTCATTAATAAAAATGATACTTTTTTTGTTTAAAAAAGAAAGCAGAAAGTATGAAAAGAAAAAAAAAAGAAATGAAGTGAAACTAAAAGAAAAGATGAGAAAAAAAAAATCAAAATGAGATGAGATAAGATGAGATGAGATGAGATGAGATGAGAAGAGAAGAAACGAAATGATAATGAAATGAAAAGAAAAAAATTACGTATACCTTAAATAATAATTCAACATATTATAAGATTCATGAGAGGGAAAAATTTATTGGAAAAAATTATCTATTATTTTAATAATAATTAAAATTTATTTGAAGTAATGATATATTAATGAATGGATTAATATATAAAATAAAACATTTAAAATTTTACATTTCAATTTGTGATTAAAATTTTTTTAAAATGTTCGATGCATATATGTATATATATATATTTTTTTTTTTTTTACTTCTATTGAAGATAAAATCAAGGGATCGTAGTAATAAAAAAAAAAAATAGTAAAGTGGATTTTTTACTAAACAGAATTTTTATATTTTTAATTTAAAAAATTAATAAATTAAAAAAAGATATTTGAAAAAAAGCAGAAAGAAAAGTCATGCTTAATTGAAGTTTCTTTCTAATTGTTTCTATATATAAGTTAGAAAAAAAAAAAAAATGATAATTATCAAAAGGAAAATTTCGTTATTTCTGATCTTTAAAAAGATTTAATTAATCTCCATTAGTAAATATGTATATTTATTATTTATTAGACATGAACAAAATGACAAATTAATCATTCAAGCTGGGAATTTAAGAAAAAAAAAATTAATAATGTAGCTAAGAAGGTAATTTAAAATTAAAAATATAAAAGTTAAAAAAAAAAAAAATTCAAGAGAAACATATTAATATGTTTAATTAAAAATTCTTAAATAGTTGCTCGGAAATTTAATTCCTATAATTAAATTTTTTTATTTTTTTTTTCTAAATATTTTTTTTCCTTCAATATATGTGTTATTAAAAATATTATTTTCTTTTTTTATAAAAAAAATGTATCTTAAAAATGAAATTCTATAATTCTTTTAAAGCTAAAAGAGAGCAAGCTGAAGTGCAATATCATTATGATTAATGAAAATTAAAATATCTAGAAAATTCATTGTTTAATATCTTTTTAAAATATAAAAAAAAAACAGTTTATTAAAACTTAAAATTTAATGAACATGCTAAAAATATTTTGCATTTTTTGTTTAAAATGAAAAAAAAAAAAAAAAAAGATAAATAAAAAAAAGAATAAAATGACATAATTAAACTTAACTTTTGCAATTTAAAAATATTAAATATAAATGTTTGAAGATGATTTTTTTTTTTTTTTTTTTTTTTAAAACCATATATGTATGAAAATTTGTAAAATAGCTTAAAAAAAAAGAAAAAAGAATATAATATTACAGCTTAATATATATACACAACATTCAAAAGAAGTTTGAGCTAAATTCAAAGAATTTATGTAAAATTTTTTTTTTTTAAATTTTAGCATGCATCTTTATTTTGTTACATAAAAAAATAATGTGAACCTATTTTTTTATGATGTAAAAAATGAAAAAAAAAAAAAAAAAAAGATGTTATAAATAAAAAAGACATCATTCTTAAATAACTTTTGAAAATAGAAAAATTTTAAAATAATAATTATCAGTTTATTTCTTGTATAATAAGTATTTAAAAGTGTTACTAATTCTGTATATAAATATTTCTGAAGTAATAAATTGTTATATGAATATATAGAGAGACCTACTAATTGAGGATATAATTTAAAAACAATAATACAACTTTTTTTCTTTTTTTTTTAAATAATATAATTATATCTATTTATTCAAAATTTTAAAAAAGAGAAAAACTAACAAAAAAAAAAAAAAAAAAAAAAAAAAATTTTA